AACCAGATCCCCGACCTCTTGGTGTTGAGGAAGCCCAGGAACTGGTGGGCATCGGGGTGGCGGTTACGCCGGTGAGTGTGAACGGAGTCACGGTCGGGAGCGGTGACAGCAACGGGGACGAGACGGGGATCCAAGAATGAGAAGCCTCTGAGGATTAGACATAGGGTCAGCTTGGTAGAGCTCCAACGGAAAAGCTGAAGGGAGACATACTCAGGCATTTGAGTGTCTTTTGGAGCGTTCTTGTTGGTCATTTTGGCGGCTTTGAGCTTTTGCTATACAGAGTGATTGTATTCTGTTTCTGGTGGAGTCATGCTGAATTGGGACTCTACCTACTCGAAATCCGAGAAGGGACCTATAGGTATCTTTATAGCCCCCATCGACTTCTCCTCACTTCCAATTGAGCTTTGCTCATGAATTTCAAGTTCAGTCGCCGAGTATCCGACGGGAAGTTTTGATGCTGTTTGGGCATCCATATTTGAGGTTTGAGAGGTTTTCTCATTCTGTCGTCTCATACCCCTACCTATCTGCGTGTCTCTTAAGAAATGGCTGGAATCCGAGCTTTGGAGTTTCCATAGAACTACTTAAGATTGGGCATTTCCTTCCCAATGCAACGAACCCCCCAGTCGAGTCTTTCCCGTGTTATCAAAGCCATTTCGTCTCAGTTCTCTACCCGCACTTTCCCCATACCTGAAGTCTCGTTTCGCCAGGCACAATCAGGAAGCAAACCCCTGGATGTTCCCCATTTCATCTCTCCTTGCTCTCTAGTATATTGCTTTGTCCTACAAGCAACACAGATTCCATAACCACCCAGGTATGAGAGAACGAAACCTCCGAACCTTCTTTCCATCACCCCATTTCCGTAGAGCTGTGGCTTTCTTCACGCACCTTTTTCGTTGTACATCGTTAGTCCTAACGTCTTGGACAACAGGCCTTCTCATCACATACGAGTGTTCCTCATCCCGAAACGTTGACTAAGAGTATCTATCTTTTCCCATCGCCATCAGCACAAGCAGGTAACAACCTGGATACCAAGCCTTTCGCTCTATTAGAAAGTCAGTTGTGCCTCTTTCAGCCTCGCCGGGCATTGGAAATGCCCGGCCACATTGCAAACTCCTTACACATCTCGACATCCTTCCAGGGAGTCCCCCTCTCTCTCTCAGACATAAACACGCTTCAGATTCCGGAGTGTTTCCACAACGGCTTTCCTCGACATCAGCCAAACAACGAAGGAATACACGATGACGACGTTAACCGAATTTCACCTCTTTCCCTACCTCCCGGAGGAGTTAAGGTTCATGATCTGGACCTTAGCCCTTCGACCACTTGATCGCCCAGGCGTTCACATCTTCGACGTCGTGAAGACAATCACACAACTGGACCGCGTGAATCATCACCTTTCACGACTGATTGGGCCGGGGTACAGTGATCTGTACGGCGGTCTGTTTGTTCCTCCATCTTTGCTACCTCAACCAGCATGGACACCTCCAATGGATTGCAGTTGCAGTTGGGTATCTTCTTTATCTACTTACGTGGTTCCCGGGAATGTCAACCTCAAGGCCATCACGCCTCATTCGAATGCCTCATCATCGCCATTATCCAACAGGGAAAAAAACCAGACGTCTGCTCAACATATCTCTTCGACGTCGGACTGTGGACCGCTTGCAAGGAGTCACGCAGGGTCATCCAAAAAGGCTTTTGGCTCGCGCAAATTGAACAAGCCCTTTACCACCACAGCCTTGTATCGATGCAACAACTCAACACGCCGCCATCCTTTCACCGTGTTCCAGGGACGAGACGAGACCTCTTCATCTATCGACCACTGCACAAGGTTCGCCAAGGGTTTCTCGCTCCTGGATGGGAGCCAGCTACCATTTTCAAGCCCGTTTCCAGGTGGGGAAGTGTCCCTCTGCGGCGAACCGAACAGACTCCGGGGATATTACCAGCCCAACTACTACCGCCGGCTGGATAAGCTGGGCCACTACCAGGACCACATGGCTATCGAGTGGGACCCATCCTGGGCTTTCGATGATGCTGCGTTCGAGGAACTCAAGAGGGGTCTGATGTCTACCTCGTTGCAACGGGGTCGTATCTGGTTTGTTGACTATGGGCTCAGGCCGATAAACAAGAATTTTGCCCTCAGCGACCTCGACGTGGCGTGGAAAAAGAAGGGGACGAGCGAGGTCTTTGAAGATGCGCATGGAGGTCGTTATGTGGAGGTGTATTCTAGCAAAATCCATCTCGATCTACACACGGGCGAGAGAGTAAGCAGTGAGACGTTTGATGGTACAGGGTTTTTTGTGTCCACGGACGGAAGTCTGACGATGTTAAAGCCGTTGCTTCGGAGAGACCTGCCGGATTGGTTGGGAAGGACATTGCAGTTATCTGGAGAGGGCATTGGTGAAAAGAACTGGGCGCAGTGGGGGATCCTCGCGTACCTGCCTCCGGGGTTTGAGGAGGGCAAACAACGGCCGAATGCATCGCCCAGGACAAGAACGCAAGAAACTGTAAAAGAGAGGATGTAGCGCCTTGGACCGCGCTTCTGGTTGCTGGGTTAATTAGCTGAATGAAGCGATCATGGCGAGCGGGAGCAGGAAGCAGTGGCCGTGTTGGAATGATAGACTTCCCCATCTGCTTATGTCATCCGTTTATCTGGGTTCTTGCACTAACAGCTGGCCACCATGTCTCCCTATGTTTAAGATAGTGCTCCATCTTAGTGCGTCATTTGCCAAATTCAGGGCTGTCAGTTACCACACTTGCAGTCGAATGTTTTATGAGATCTTTCGAAAAAGTGATGAAACAAATCCGCACTTTGAGAAGCAAAAACCTCTATGAAACTCTATTTGGTGCATTACGTTGTCTTCATTTCATCATCGAGTAATCGATGTCGTACCTTCTGACGTGGAGTCAAATGCATTTTCTCTGGAAACAGATGCGATTTGATGTAGCTGATGGTGCTGCTACCAGGTCGGCCGGATGGGAAATGAGTGCCAACTTGTATAATTCCCATTACGCCGGTGTCTGGGCGGCCACAATGCTACTTTGCTTGACTTAAGGGACAAGATTCAGATAAGTGCCGTGTGTATCGTAATGGCGGAAGATTGAGGGGGGCGTTATCCAAGTGTCACCAATTGGCTGCAACCTAGAGACATGTGAAAATGACAATAATAAAGAAGATAGCGGTTCCTCCATCAAATTTGACTACACTACCAAATCATACACTGTCGAGGCCTCTGTCACCTCCCAGAAATCCAAAAAAAAATGCCACAAACAAAAAGTCCATCAACCGTGTGTCCAATCAAAACTACCACCCACCGAAGATCTCCTTCTCCCTCTCTACATGTGGCCGAGCCATCTGAACTCGCTTCCTCCTCTTCTCCACAGCAAACCGCCTAATCAACCACCTCCACCTACGTGCACCCCAGAACGCATCTGGCTCATTCTCCCTCACCAGTATTTACCACCTCGATAGTAATAGATCCAAGCGGGCCCTTGTTCAAACTCGCTCCAGTGGCTTCAACCGCATAACTATCATCAACTTCGGAAACCTCAAAGGAATTAGATCTGCGAGACCACGGACAATCCCAGTAGACATGGCACACCTTGATGTCGCCATGGTAGATGTCGAAGTGGCCCTCGGTGCCGGTAGGCGTCCAGGCTCTACCGGATGAGGCCACGACCATCGATCCGCCGTTTGGGCTGGCGGATTTGGCTTCCACTTGGTCGTGGGAAAGCTGTTCGCCTGCGTCGGGGTATTCGAACCACTTGCCCCTGCAGAAGTAAGTAAAAGAAGGAGCGTTAATGATGGTCCATGTGATGTCAATTCTTGATGGGAAGATGATGGCAGTTAGGGAAATAGGAAGAGAAGGACTTACGAACTGAGATGGGCGTTTCTGATGAACAAGTCCCCTGAGGAAGCTTGGTTCAAAATCGTCATGTCGACCCCCAGATATTCTGCATTGGTGCTTCTTTGTATGTTTATAGTAGGTCCGGGGCGGGGAGGAGGGGCTCCCGTAGGCGGAAGGGCGGTTTCATGGTCGACACGCAAGGGAGCGGCAAAAGTGCCGGCCACCAGAGTAATGAGGAGCAGGCCGAACGTCAGAAGACGGGTTGAGAAGCCCATTTGAAGTGATGCCATCTTGAGGTTGTGATTGGGTGAACGATGATTGTTGGTAGTTTATGGCTGTGATGGTAGTTCTTCTGGAATATGCGAATTTCAATGGTGAATGTGATGAATTAAAGATTTTAGATAGGGGGACTTGTGATATCTTAAATCCTTTTTACCGGAATGAGAAAGAAAACAAAACTTACCATATAAACTCGGACATCCGGAAACGGAGGCTTCCCGTAATGCCCTTCTTGGGCGCAGATATGCCGGTGTTTATAACGTACAGCCAAGTGTATATGGTAGGCATCATGCAGAATCGCCTTCTTAGTGAAATGCTCCAAAACATTACCGCAAAGATTCGGGGGATAGCCTTTTAGGTTTCAAGGAAATCAGGCATGGTCTGCAAGCATACTGCAATATTATATGCCCACCAAATCTCTACGCAAGACGGTGATTCTGATTGTCCCCACCCTCCAGTACCCTCGAGAGAATAGGTGGAAAAAGGCATGGCATCAGAGAAATCGAATTTACAGTACTTTGGGTTGGCAACACATCTCCCCCACTCTTTTTATCAGACATAAAAAGCACATATTCGTGCAGTGTGCTTACAGATTATGCCTGATTTCCTGGGAACCTAAAAAGCTATCCCCGGAATCTTTGCGGTACCCATCACTGTAACTCGCGTGCATTTAAATGCACAGAGTCGGACATTTGGTGCTCGGAATGCCGTCCATGCGTTTTCCCGTGTTTCCGCGAAAAGTCAATGTGCGTAACTGCTTTCTGGCTACTACTCTCCCTCATATCGGACTCTCCTATAACTTGTCACCCACTTGGTCCAAGGAATACCCAAAGTTAAAGCTGACAGAAAGCTGTATCTTGACCACTTAACGAAATCCTGGGCACTCCGAAATTCAATTTTGTTATTCGTCAGTGACTATCCTGAGTCCACCCCAAAAGAGGCTCGTTGTCCGATGTCATACCCTTCACTCCCTCGTCGTCAGCCTGCACTTCCCCCATCCCGACAAACCGAGGAATGCGTCCCTTCAAGAGGTATGCCCGCCGGGCTCACTCATACCTGCCAAGAACAGGGGCAGGTCCAATATCCGCTCCCCAAGAAAACTGCAATTTTCCAGAACCGTCCTCGCTTCGTCTGACGCGGATACACCTGGTAGCCCTCTGCCTCAAACCAGGTGGGTGACGTTCCCTGCAGAAGCAGAGGCCTTCAGCAACCCCTTCATGCTCATGCCCATGGTAGAAAAGCCCATATAAACAGTACCCAAAGCCAATCTCTCCTTCTTTTTGAAAGACGTACCAGCGTCTGATCCTGCCGCCGTTGGCCCTGTTATGAAACGAGATGAGTGCCCCGAGAAGCCACTCAAGCGCGACTCCGCCATTATCAAAGGTTTCTTCAGCTATGCCAATGATATCCATCACGGTCTTATCAAGAGCGGATGAAACCCGCCTCCGCTTCGTCCACGAGTCATAGTCGTCAGGGTTGTCTTCATCCATATCACTCTCATCATCATCATCGTCATCCTCATCGAGGCCAGCCGTGGACCTGCTTCGCTTGCGATTGTTCTCATCCACCACCTCAGCAACCATTTCCATCATCTTTTCCTTCGCATTCTCCAACGCAGTCCCCACAGTGCGGCTGAGCTGGACCACCTCCGCCTGGATCAAGACCTTCTCCTCCTCGACAAGCTGCAAGATCGCTGATTGGGTATCGCGAATATGATCAGCCAGTTTGGTCTCAGTGTCGCTCAGCGCTTTCTCGATGTTGGGTAACTTTGAACCGCCATCTGTGCGTTTGGCGCAGGTTGGGGTGCTCTGTTGGCTTTGGACTTGGCTTTTCTTGAGCTCCGCTACGTCGGCTTTGACGGCTTTGATGTCCGAGGCGAGAGAGTGGAGGAGTAGCTTGATTTCCGCGAGCTCGGAATTGGAGGCCATTTTGGGTGGCATTGTTTGACGGTTCTTACGGGTCTGGTGAGGGGTCGAGGTGAGACCGTGGAATGATCGGCTGCTACGGCGCCGGTGGTTGAAGTTGGCCGAAAATCTGTCTTTTGACTTCCAGGTTTTGGGACTGGAGGAAGAAGACGAAAAAGGAAACTCCGTCTCGAAGATTAAGAAGTGGTATCGCGATAAGAATAAGTAGGTTAATTGAGGAAGAAAAGTCAGATGGAAGAAGAAGTGAGCTGCTGCGGGAGGCCGTTTTGCCCCACAACAGGAGCTGTAAGGACCCATTATATGTGGATGCAGCACCTGGGGAGTGAAGCGGAAAGAACTGCAGTAGACTTGTAGGTATTGATATCCTGGAACTTCTGAGAATTGAATGCGCTGTTTGGCAACAAAGCAACGACGAGAAGAAGTTTTGCCTAAGATAGGGGGAGAAGAGGTGACCAAAAAGAATTGCAAAAAAATACATACAACACCAGGGATTCGCTGGTCGTCACCGACCCAACTACTAGTCTGGCCCTCACTGGCTTATCTATGGGAGAGCGGACGGGATCCCGAGTTTTTCAGTGGGTATGGTCGTATGTGGTAGATTGGCGCAAAATCGGTGCTCAAGTAGAGGTGTGCCCGCAGGATATATTGATGGCGAGAGGAATCTTCGACGGCCTCCCCAGTTACCCGTGACACTCCCCGTTTTGTGGATGAGGGAGACAATAGATCGAAACAAAACACGTTCACAGGAGTCTTCGATGTCAGTTCTTCCCTATGAACCACAGACCCAGTGCGCAGTAGTGGGGATGGGATTTCATTTTGGCTAAGTAGAAAGAGCAAGAGGGAACATGAGAACCATTAATTCATTTCAACCTCAAGAGGAAAAGGGGGCAACGGAAAGGCCGCCAAGAACTCGGGAAAAACCAAAAGGACCGCTGTGATAAGGCAGAAAACGTGAAATGGGCAGAGGAAGGAAAGACAGACGACGAACAAGGAAAGAGGAGAAAAAAAAAAGGAAAAGTTAAAGCAGAAATGCCCAACAGAACAACAAGGCAGTGTGAGACGAGCCGCTTTCTCTTACACCGTCACCATCTGACTTCCAATCATTCAACATCTTCTTCCACCTCATCTTCATCCCCTCTCACATCACTTCGATCCTTGTTCAAATCTTCGCCCGCCCCTTTCTTTACCTCCATGGGCATTCTCATACAGTCTTCCAATGCCCGTTCCGCGTGCAGGCTCCTCCGCTCGCCTAACCCAATGGAAAATAATCTCTTCATCTCAGGCCTCGATGTGTTGTCCCTGACCACCATTCGTTCTCCTACATGCAACTGTTCGACGGCTCTTGCCGCTGCATTCTCTTCCCAATCTTGCAAATTGGCCTGGTACGCCGCATCTGTACTGTTATAGCTGTGAGCCAAATTGCTGATGGCAGCCCCTGGAGATATTGCGTTTGGAAGTGCTGGCACTAGAGCCCTGGCTGTGCCTTCAGTTGCTGACAGCTCAGCGGGTGACTCGTCCTCCCCAATATCTTCATCCTCGTCGAGATCTAATTCGTCCCCAAAAACAAATGGGATAAAACCTATCATGATTTTCCTCCAAAATTCTGGCGATTTTGACTCAAACTTTTCTTGCGCCAAGATGCTGTTGCTCAAGGTTTTTATTGCAAGGCAATATATCTTTGATCCGATCTTGTCCTCATGATTCTTTTCCAGGGTCGTAAGACAATCGAGCAGTAACTCTTCTGCCTGGGCATGTCTCCCCAACTCGTTCAAACAATGTGCGAGTTTGACAATGGCCTCCAATGTATCCGGGTGTTCAGGCCCAAGCAGCTTCTTGCGCAACTGGACTATATTGTCCAACTCCTCTACCGCCTCCATGTGCTTCCCTTGCGAGGCTAGGCATGAAACAATATGCATTCGCACACCCAATAACAATGGAACTTGGGAGCCAAATGTCCGTTCGTAATATTCCAGGAGTTTTCGGCAGCTCTTTTCAGCGTCTTCCCATTTCCCTTGCTTCACCAGTGAACATATCGATGCCACATGAGCGGGGTATTGAAAGGAACCATCAGCATCCGGCATCTCCAGTTGCGATCGCCTCTGTTCTAAAACGTTTAGAAGCTCTTCAGTTTTCCACTGAGCTAGCATTGCCTGGGAAATGGCAATCCAGATGTCGCCTTCTGACATACCAGCTTTCCCGAGCAACCAATCTTCGTCTGGAAATTGAAATCGACGATGCAAAAGTGCACGACTGATTGTCTCTTTCTCCGCGTATTTAGCGACGAAGTCAAGGGTGTTGACAAATCGTGCTAGAAGTCCTAGGATTAAAGAGGTGAAAGAGCAAGGGGGTGCATTATGGATGAAGCGCACAATGTGGCAACCGCTGTCTTCAAGAATGCACCGCCCCAGTGCCCTTAATTTATCAAACAAAGATACAGCCTCTTTGTGTTCACTTGTAAATTGTTCGTGGTGTATGTCTCCGACAGGAAGACCGTAGCTCTCAAGTGCGGCGTCGTTGTTAGCAGGATCCAGCAATATGCCAAGTAAACTTTTGTGCAACCCTTTGGCCGCACCTTTGATCTTGATCTGAAGTGAGTGATGCTTGCCGAACAAATCTCGCAGCTTCCATAAGTCTCCAACTGCCCGGAATATGTAGTAGTGTCCTGGACAAAATGTTTTTTCGGCCACATGAAGTGCTTTGGTCAGCAAGATCATGGCTCTGTCCAATCTGCCCGTCTCGATGTTGTAATTCCCCGCGCAGGAGAGCATCCTTAACAAAAACGGTGCACGATCTTTGTCAAGATGTTCGAGTCCAGGTAAATTTAGGAGCGACTCGACGTGTGGAGAGAGCTCACCACACTCTGTCCAGGATTCGAAGCAAGGGTCGGGATGAAATACTCCCAGGGAATTGATGTAATGCCGTTGAACATCTTCTTTCTCCCTTGATTCCTCAAGCCACGCGCGAGTACAAGCTTGTACCAAAGCATGCATCTGATACTGTTGGGACCGGAAGGTTGCGCCATGACGCTCCTTTCTATCCCCATCCTGTATTTGAAAGCGAGTGACAAGCGAATAGCGACACAACAAACTAAGATCCTTCGGAAGTGCTCGACCAGCGTCCTGTTCAAACAGAAGTGCGTAGATCTTCTCAAGAATCCAATGCGGAATTCCTTGATTATGAAAGAAGCTCATTAGTGAAAGGAGCCAGGCGGCATTGGCGTTCGTTTCCTTGATTCGACTAAATGTGATTTTCCACGTGGTAACAACGGCAGGGGATGTGCCGGGTTCGCGGAACGGATCGTCCACCGTCACTTCACTCAAAAGGCTGACCCTCTCTTGATCACTCATCCTGAACAGTTCCAAGTACGTTGCCGGAGTCGTCAAGCCAGTGTCTGCTTCAAACGCGATGTAAGATGCCGCTTGCGTGATAGCAAGGGGGATACAGTCGAGGGCCTGGACCAGAGCGACCTCGCAATCCTCATCATTGTAATCGCCGAGCTTCTTCCGCAGCAGCTGTATTGCCTCATGTTCCGTCATGGCTGGTACCTCTCGAGCGTTCCGGTGCCCCGCCAAGAAATGAGCGGCTGCTTTGTCCCGTGAGGTGACCAGAAGATTTCCAGTTTGACCGCAAGGCAGAAACTCGGAAAGGGGTTGGGCCTTGATTGCCGAGCCGTCCTCGCTAGCACTATCCCCGCTGGTCGTTGTATTCTTGAAGATGGCGACATCATCGGCGTTGTCCAGGATCATGAGCCATTGTTTGTTTTGACGGCACCAGTCACGTACAGCTCGGAGGACGGTGTCATCAGGTTGAGAAGGGTCAGGGAGGAGTCCCAGTTTTTCTGCAATTTCGCGATAGCCGGTAATGAACAGATCCCTGGTGCGAGCGTAGATCCAGAAAATGAATGTTTCAGGCGATCTGTGTTTGACGTCTTGAGCGTATCGAATGGCAAATTGTGACTTTCTAGAGGTAGTAACCCGTGGATGTTAGTACCTAGCTCCTTAAAGAACTGTTTAACTCATCAGATACTTGGAAGCGTACCCTATCCCACCAAGTCCCCAGAGCGCAGCGCGGCTTCCTGGGTTCTTGAGCGTCTTTTCGAGCCATTCTGTGATGTACGGTCGTTCGATAAAGTCTTCATTGCGGGGAAAATAGAGTTGAGCAAAGGGTTCGACCGACTTGCGGACCTCGTTGGGTGCGCTGGATGCGTAGAAGTGGTAGTCTCCATAAGAGACCACGTTGTGACCGCCATTGACAGCACTGATGCTACCAACCATAACGTTATGGCCGGCGACGCGGCCATTCACAGTGTTATGGTCAATACCGCCGTCCCCAGACTGATTAGTCGACATTTCGATGAACTGCGGACGGCAGATATCCGTTACCTGTACTCGATCATATCGTGAATTTTGAAACCGATGCGATGATGTGAAAGGAAATGGCGATTTGGCAGTGAAATGTCCAGCTGAACATAGCCAGAAGTGGGGCAATGCACCACGCATCGAGGCAGCCTCCAACTGCACCCTCGCTGTTGAGTGGTGGGAATGGAGGCTTCCTGTTCGTCAGTCACCCTTATTCGCTTTTGGCCCCCAAGCCTCGTAAGAATGCCTAATGATAAGCCCAACCGTATGCCCAACTATTCCGGAGGTAGCAATGCTAACGTGTCCCTCACGACCGAGTCGACCACAGGACAATGAAAGCTCACACAAATCGACGGAAGGCTCCTCGTGAGATTCAGTTGTTATGCCAGCTTATCCCCAAGGTGCAAGCGATCATCGTCTATACTATCAGACAATTATATCGTCACTTCGCTGACAGTCGTCGTTGCCCATCGCAAAGCGTGCACCCAACATGGTGACCTCACTCACCGCCAGCCAGCGTCAGGAGTGTCAGGAGTTTGCCCGTCCCACAAGCCGAGATGACTTCCAAATTGCGATAGTCTGCGCCCTCCCTCTCGAATACGACGCCATTTCCTTGCTCATCGACCAAGTTTGGGATGTCAAGGGTGACCAACACCCTTTTGGCCGAGCACCTGGCGACCCAAACACTTATAGAAATGGGCGAATCTCGAGCTTCAACGTTGTCCTGGTTCTCCTTCCCAACATGGGAAAGGTAAGGAGCTGCCGGGGCGACGGCCAGTCTCCGATCAAGCTACCCCAACATTTCCCTGGTCCTCGTAGTCGGCATTTGCGGCGGCATGCCTTTCACCAAGGGGAACGAGGAGGAGGTACTTCTCGGCGATGTCATTATAAGCAATATCCTGATTCAGTACGACTTTGGGAGACAACTATCGGACCGGTTTCTTGTCAGAGATAGCATCGAGGACAGCCTGGGCAGGCCCACTCAGCATATCCGTAGCATGCTCAGGTTACTGGAGGTTGAATCCATACGCGATGACGTTGAAGATGACGCGGCTCAATACCTTCAGATGCTCCAGAAAAAGCACAACGGCAATCCAAAACAGCGAAAATTGGGCAAATACAAGTACCCAGGAGCACACAAGGACAAGCTGTTCGATTGTTCATATGAACATAAACATCATGGCCCCTCCTCGGACTGCAGTCTTTGTGCACAGGGGTCTACCTGCGAGCGATCCATGGGACTGTCGTGCGATGATCTCCATTGTGATCTCAGTCGTCTAGTTCATAGGGAGAGACTGGCCCAAATGCAGATATCAGATCAGCCCATCTTCCCACTTCGTGTCTTTGTTGGTCGGATGGGGTCCGGAGACGGGGTGATTCGTTCTGCCAAGCATCGGCAGGAGCTCGCCGAAAGGGGCGTCATTGGTGTGGAGATGGAAGGTGCAGGCGTTTGGGATCAGTTGCCTTGTATCGTGATCAAGGGTGTATGTGATTATGCTGACAGCCACAAAAACAAGGGGTGGCAGGACTATGCTGCCGCGACGGCAGCTTCGGTAGCCAAGGCAGTCCTGGAACATTGCGCGACACCGATGGTGACTGGAAGGGATGCTTCGCCTTATGGTTCAGGATCAGGTCACCACGCTGTGGTTCACGGAACGGTGAGCGGAAGCAACGTTGTGTTGGGTGGCATACATAGTACTGGAGGGAGTACCAACAATGTTAGAATCGGTAATAACTGGGGGAGAGCGGCAAGTTGGGAAGAGATATGAATAATCAATGGAAGGGAAGGCCAGCAGATAACATAAGCGTGAAGACAAAGGTGCCCTTTGCTCCTATCGTCATCATAGACCGCTTGGTGTTGAGTTGTAAATAGTGGTGGGCATGCCGATCATGGCAGTAGAGGTAGACGTGATCAAGACCAGGACGGTCCGGCGGGATCTGGATCGTTAACGATAGCTGTCTCGAATTCAGTGGGGCCGGGGTCGCAGGGACCGAGGGACGGAACTAGGGCCGGTTCCGTGAACAGGACCGGAGTCAGATGGCCCGGAGAACTTGAGGCATGTTCCGAGGCCCATGAGGGAGATGACACTAGCTGGGAAGAGGGAAGAGTCCGAAGTTGAGAGGCCTCCGTGTGGGAAGATGGAATCGGAGTAGCGGAAGCGCCTCAGAGGATTGATGTTTCCACTTGTAGGTTTAAGTATGAACTTGAAGCGGAAGGACGGAAGATCGTGGTTGAAACCAATGGGAGAAATTGACAGTTTGGATTCGTTCCGGTGGAAGAAGAGGATGAGGTGGGGGACGAGCGAGAGTGGACAGGCCGCTGGAAGGTCTGTTAGCACGTTAGCTTGACTAGCCTATTCACTCACACAGAATACCATGTACACTATCAGAGCAATAGAGGACATGGACAGTTCATGCATTTGACCCACCAAATACATTGTTAAGGCTAACAGCTTCATGTGCAATGTCTGTTAGTGGATGTCTGCTATGCAAAAGCTTCCTTCTCCTCCTCTCTCTAGACTCCGACTTCCAAGCCGTCAAGTCGGACCTAGCAAACCTGAAGATGAAGGAAAAGAAGGAAAGAAAAGAACCAATGCCAAATTTGGAGTCAGACAGAAACAGAAGGGCGAGTCATCCATCGGTGCCAGCTACGCAGTGCAGCAGTTAATGGAGTGGCTGTCAACGAAGGACACAAGCATGAAAAGGGCGGCCATCCAAACAATCGCAACGAGCACATCATCACAATACGAGATTATTGTACTATATCCAATTATTGGTGATTTTCGACACCGACTGTTCGTTCTTTCCCTGCCTCCGTTCTGTTAACTTACAAGCAACCAAGTTTAACTATCACGTGCACTTCCATTTCCAAGCCAGACAGAAAATGCAGATTTTGCATTAGTCAACTCGCCACGAGTGCCCATCTATTTTTTTTTTACATAAATCTAGCTGGCCGATACCGAATCCAAAATGTACATAAAGTAACCCCAGAAAGCCATCAGCACAAAACAGAACAATACTCGCGCGGACTCAAAGCGTCCCCCAAGATCAGACAGATGCGAATAAGGCAGGTATTCCTTCGAGCCTCCACGAACATGACTTGGCCCCATCCTATCTTCCACCAAATTCCCTAAAGACTAAAAATCGGACACTCAAAATAACGGTAAAAAGTCCAATCTGGCGGGTGCTCCGGGCCCATGCCACGAAGCTCATACGGCTCAGGATGCATATACTTCCAAGCCAGCGCATTATCGCAGTAAATCCAGCCCATCGCCCGATCGTAGTAATACCACGTTTGCGAAGGGTTGTGAACACACAAATGGGGCGAGGGATAGAAATAACTGATCTGGTCCAGACCGGGATTGTAGTAAGACCAAATCGGAAAGGGATCGTAGTAGCTCCAACCCGCCTGAGGATAATGGTCAACCCACCAGGCTGGTGAGGGATGGTGATAAGTCCAGCCAGGCATTTTGTGGTGATATGCAATCTTTTCCGCTTGCTGCTGCCATGGAGGCACCAGGTTCACCTCTTCTTGTCCAGCGTATGATTCCACGACATGCTCTGGATGGTTTCTCCAGTTTTCCCCAGCGAATGCTTCTTCGTTGGAGGGATTCGCCTCGCCCCCCGAGTCGGCAGGCAACTCCGTAATGGTGATGACTTCTGTTGTGTCATCCTTCGTGCTAGTCGTTACCATTACGGACATGGAATCGCCGCGACTCGTCGGCTCAGCGGCGTCAGAAGCCAATGCCATCACGGCATGAAGCGTAAGCTCGTGTATCTCGCAAGACTCTTCCTGGATTTCGTGCCCGTAACATGGGCTGTCTGCGATGATGTCGGAAGATTCGGAGTCGGAGCTATATCCGTGAGAGGACGAATGGTCTGCTGCCTCTTCACAGTCCTCGTCCACCTCGTCATTACCGAAATCCTCTTCCTCCTTTTTTGCTTCCTCCTCTGCCTCCTTGAACCTCTTCCGCTTATCTCCCAGCTTTTCCCTTCTTGAGACCTCATTTATAGCCTGGCTAAAAAGTTTCAATTCTTGTGCTACCTGCTGAAAGTGTACTGGATCAGGTAGCGTTGTATAATTGGGCTTGGGGTGGACCGTTTGCCCGTGACCTAGGCCCGGGCTCTTTGTGTCGCTGCCAGGAGATTTCTTGAGGTCGGATCTGGATCCGTGTGGAGGCAGCGACGTTGCAGTATGCCTATCGTCTTTAGCGTCGGAGCGTCCCATGTTGACGTGATCGAGATGGGTGTGGACAAAATGGGTGGTATCGATGGTTTGCAAGTTGCAGAATGTGAGAGAGTAAAGATTGATGGGTCGATGAGAAAGAGGGGAAGGAGAGGGAACGTGGGGGGAAAAGGGTTTATGTAGTCTACCTAGGGATGGGATGCTAATGCACAGGTATGTATTTTCTTGACTTCGCCAGTTGGGGTTCCGGACGGACCGTTACGGACGCAGGAGAATATAATAAATATAATAAATGCATGTACGTCCTTGGCGATGCAAGTATTTTGTGTCTTGGTGTTTTGCAGCTTTGAGTGATGTGGACTGGAGGCTGCATAATTCTGGGGGCGTGAAATCCGCACAAAGTGCCGCTCCGAGCCGAGATGCACAAGTCCAGGGAAAGTCATCCAGAACTGAATTCACGGACTTGTAGTTTCCGAGATGATTTTCGTCCCTCTGTTTTTTGGAACCACGAGTTCTCTTCATGGCGGGATCATGCGCTCCTGCAATGGGAAGTTTAGTCCTCACACTCAAAGAGAGGAAAAGTAGAAACGTGGTAGGAATGAAGAGGAAGGAGCAATCCAAATTCCAGACAGGTCGAGCTCAGATCAATTCGCTGCTCTGGTAATCTCAAGATTGTCTCGTTCTCATTTGATCCAGACAATCCGTCCACCCTTGCTGCAATCTGATTCCATCGATCCATCCATCCTTTCTCCTCTCTTCCTTCCTGTCTCGAGGTATTAACCCTTCTCCACCGAATGTGCGAAAACAAGTGTGATTTCGCAGCGATGCCATCCGCTTCCTCCCACTTCGTCAAATCAGGACAACGTCAAAGGACAATTCCCAAAGAAAAACACAACTTTCCATCTTTCTTCCCATCTCTCTTCACCCTAATGCACCTCGTGCTCCGGTTGATTGGCACATCATTTTGTCGGCTTAAATCCGGCATACAATGACATTCCCCGAGGGCTACACCTGAAAAGGGCGAATCATGATCATCATGGCCCCAGTAGAGAATACCAGACAAGCAATATTTGATGTCGACCACCCCGTGTCGTTTAAAGTTCTCCCATCTTTCCAACATGCGCTCGCAAGTAGGTAAATTGTACGGTCTGACGAGCGCAGAACACACGTACTCTGGGGAAATGTCGATACTGCTGACGCAATCGTAGAGCCCGCTAATTGCGTCCATCATCACTCTGTAAAACTGGGTGGCGGTATCGTTTTCCAACTCGACCGGTTCTGTCTGCAAGTTTTCCAGCTCCATTCCCTCCAGTTCAATTTCATCGAGCTCGGCTACCTCCATATCGTCATGGGCGGCAGCTGGGGGGATAGAGTCCAGATTGGAAGTCCCAATCTCCTGTTCTCTGTTCTCCTTCAACTCCTGTACCTCCTGATTGAGGACTCGGATCTTTTGCTGCACTGTCAAGACGTGCTGACTCAGCTCATAGAGTGAAGCTTGGATTGTTGATATACTGGTAATTCTGTTGTGGCGGGCCATCTTGGGTTAAATAGCGATCCAACTTGGATCATGAATTGCTGAGGCCCGGAGGGAAACAGGACTCAAATGGGATGACGACCTGGAGGAACGGCCGCATGTTAAATAGACTCCAACCTTAAAGTCACCGCTAACTACCGCGGAAATACCAGAATGTCCCTGATCTTTGTAGTGAGAGGTCGGAAAACATAGATTATGACTGCCTCTGCCTTTGGCAATAGAAGACGGGTGAAAGAGGAATGGAAGATGGAATAATATAGGTGAGTAGAAGAAAGCCAGCTATTGTGTTTGCTAAATCGCCGACAAACGAGCATGTATCCCGTCAAAGTCGTGTAGATCGGTTTCGTCTTGTTATCAGGTAGGTAAGTTTTGTGGCGTCCCGGTACCATCGCCCACTTGATGCACACCAGTTTCCCCTTGCGCGTCTGGAAGTTTGTTTTTTTCGATAACTTGTGAACTGTGGAGCGTTTAGCATATAGCATCCCAAGTGTCGAAGAAACTATTAGTTGGGCTAAGTTGCGAATGCCTTCAATTTTACAGCGGTGAAGTTGGTAAAACAAAAAAATAAAAAAAATAAAAAAATAAAAAAATAAAAATAAAATAAAAATAAAATAAAAATTAAAAAAAAAAAAGAAGAAAGGGGGGGGGGGGACCGCAACCGGACGGCGCAGCGGAAATTGTTAGTGGGCTCCGGTTGGAGCGAGTTCTGTTTTTTTTAGCGGGTGAGAATGCCCCTGGGCTCCTCACAGCGCGGCGCCTGATGTCTTCCGGTTCTTGCGATGCACGTTCCGACCTCACATACTGGTAAAGTAGGTAAATCAGAACGAAAATTCCCAAGCACATATTCTTGTCAAATGGAAGTCAAGATCAGTTAGCTTCATAATATCCTGACGGGTATAAGGTTGGTATCTGCACGAGTGTCCTCGGTGACTTTTGCTACACCCTGGAGCTCAGTGTGCTACTACAGCAGGGGTAGTCCAGTCCAAGCTTCCACTTCCAGCGAGTGGCAGCATTCCATAAATTCCACAGTTGCATCTGGAATCGAGACCACACAACGATCGACACTTCAATCTTCTCATCACAACTCGTTAACTTCTTCGATACACGCTTGCTGCTTGTTAGCCTCAAAAGATCACGAGCTTCCACTTCCCCACAAACAGGAATCCATTCCATGTAGGTAGTGTGTTTCCAGTTTACCTAGCCGCCTCCAAGATACCCGTCCCAAGCCACGGTCCCTGTGCTGTTGGCGCCGACCCTATCCTGCTAGCAGACCTCGCTAAGGAAGCCAGATACACCCCACCCCCAACGGTATCACTGACTATCTCAACATCAATAAGTGCGGTCAACTCCAGTCCTTCATCATTGGATATGATTCCTAAAGCTAATCTCCAAGGTCGCTCGCCCAATTCTGTCAAGCTCCATTTCTCCTTGTTGAGAACAGAGATGAAGGTGAGGTTCGTCGAAGCGAGCTTTCTTGTCGAATTAAAAGCAATATGCGATGAAAACAGAGTTCTCACTTCTACCGCTGCTGCGTTGAGTGCCGTGATGACATCGCATCGACACTTTTGGGGGTGGTCGCCATCCGGGCCTTTCTCACGTAAGGCGGCTGCGGGAAGTCGCCATATTTCCTGCCAGATCGGGAATTCCCATTTCGAGTCCGCGCTGTTGCTGGTCGTGAAACTTTTGGCGACGTTGTTTGCTGCGATGAATGGGGGTTTCGAGAAGACTTGAAAGAGAAGGAGGAGGATTTCGACGGATTGCGTGAAGCTTGGCGGGCGTAGCTCAAGCTCGAGGCGTGGGGGCTAGCAGCTTGCACTAACAGTCACTAACAGTGCTGCAGCCTAATGGTGAGGAAATCCGTTAGAGTTCTACTCGTGGCCATACCAAGCTCAGCTCGCCATGACCTTCGATTAGTTGTTATTTTCGGGGTCCATTTCCCCTCCTCTGCTCTCCTCCCGTTTCTCATTCTCTGCCCGATATCGCTTTTTATTTTTTATTTTTTAAAGGTTTTTTTTTTTTCAATTTTTTTTTTTCGAGATGTTTTAGCGCCCTCGATACTGTCTAAACCGAATGAATTCAAACAGTCCCAAGAATGTCTACACGAACCACCATTTTGATTCTACAGTGAACTCACCATGCTGGTCATCGGATATTGACCAGCCGAACAACCAACCACCATCTGTACACGCGACACACCCCCCTCACACCCATCCGTCGACTCGGGAAAGATGATGCCGACATCCAACAGCCCCATCACATCACACCTTCCCACGACCGGGTCTAGATGCCCTTCCCCTCATGTGAATTATGTGTGTTAACGTTAGTGGCGGCATACCTGGTTGCCGCTTAACGGACTTGTAAAATCTCTCTCATCCCCGCTTGCCATTGGCCCGCGTTTATCACCAGGCTAAGTACCTCCATTTTCAATAACTCAAGTCTACCTCGAGCAATATCCCACTGGGAAAATGATAACGCTTCGATGCAACTCGGCTGACCCAAACGGACCTTGTCTACCGTCTTGCTTCATATTAGCTTACAGACGATGAAAGACGAGAGGTTGAAATTTCAAGGTTGACCTCTGGACTTTGTTACTGAAGAAGATGTGGAAGTGGGGTTTCTTTCTGCACGTCCGTTACGCGACATCTCCTACCTTGCATACCTTCACCATTCACAGGGTTGTCATGGACCCAGTGCACTTATCATATCCGCAGGTGACTCGACCTCTTCGCCTTGGCTATCAAACTGCAGAATCTTCATTTCAACCTTTCAACTTTACACCATCCTTCTATTGATTGCTTTTGTTTTGTTCTTGTACATTGTTGATGGTCTAGTAGCAGATCATTATCTTCGTTCATCGCAGTATTCTAGACGTCTTGATCACTGTTCATCCTTCCAACCATCGGTTTGTTATCACCAAACTGAAGTTTGCCTTGCTTATTGCTCAGTTCACCCCTCTCCGGACTCCATCATCAGCGAAAGTACAGCCAGCGACAAGTATACCTCTACTACCATGATCGCCTAAAGTCAACATGTCCCACTACGATAACCTCCCCGACTCCAAAACGGACATCATCCCTTACGATGGCGAAGACTCCTACGCCATGATCTCTCCATCATCTTCATTGTCATCATCCTCCATCTCCCCGGACTCCATCGACAAGGCCCCGGGGCCCGCCAAAAGTCACAACAACCTCACCATCCCCGACCTCTCAACCCTCCACCCCTCCGCCCTCCGCTCCCTAACCACCTCCCCCTTCTCCGAGCACGAACTCCTCTCCCCTTCATTCCAACACATCCGCCGGACCCTCTCCCGCTCCCCGTCACCCTCAAGGTCCTTCCAACATAGCCCCAATGGCCCCAACCCATCCAACCCAAAATCACGAATCATCAACTTCCTCCATCGCAATCGGCCTCTCTTCCAAGTAGCCATCGCCCAGCTCTTTGGGGCCTTGATGAACCTCTCTGCTCGGCTTCTCGAACTTTCTGGCGAAGGGGAAGGGGAAGGAGAAGAAGAAGGAAAAGCAGGAATGCACCCCTTCCAGATCCTCTTTGCTCGAATGTTCCTGACTAGCCTCCTCTCGCTTCTTTACATGCACTGGAAAAAGGTCGAGTTTGCGCCGTGGGGGAGGAGGGAGGTGCGGTGGTTGTTGGTTTTGCGGGGTGTTACTGGGTTTGTGAGTGGTTTTTTCTTTCTTTTTTTTAAGCTCTTTTTGGTGCCCTCTTCGTACGTATCATGGGCATTGTTGGGGCATGAAAGCAGGTGAATGTCGGGTGAAAAGAGGTTGAAAGAAAGTCTTGTGAACTATGACTCCGAAAGTGAATGAAACTGACAAGAGATAAACAGTTCGGCATCTTCCCCCTCTGGTACTCCATGCTCTACCTCCCCATCGCCGAAGCAACAGTCATCACCTTCTTGGCTCCCTCCCTCTCAGGCTACCTCTCCCACCTGCTTCTCAAAGACCCCTTCACCAAAAAGGAGCAAATAGCCAGCTTCGTCGCCTTGGCAGGCGTCGTCCTCATCGCTCGCCCTATTTCCTTTTTGTTCTCCTCATCCTCCTCCTCCTCCACACCAACAACTGTCCCACCCTCTTTTGATCCCAATACCAACGCCACCAACCTCACCTCCCCCGCTTCACCCGCCACCAATAATATCACCGACGACATCCCCCCCTCCCTCCGCCTCCTAGGCATCGCCTCCGCCCTGCTCAGCGTCCTCGGCGCATCCGCAGCCTACACCACCATCCGCGCCCTTGGGCCGTCCACCCACCCTTTAATCTCCGTCAACTACTTCAGCCTATGGTGCACCTTTGTCTCCCTCCTAGCTTTACTTCTCTGCCCTTTACTCGGCATCGGACAGGAGGCCACGGATCTGGTACCCGCTATTCGATGGGGGCTACCCAGAGGGTTTTATCAATGGGGTTTGTTGATAGGGTTAGGAGTTGCCGGGTTTGTAATGCAGTTTTTGTTGACGTCTGGGTTGGGGGCTGGGCCGGGACGTGATAAAGATGGGGATGGAAAGGGGGGTGGTGAAAGTGGGGGTGAAGGTGAAAGGAGAAGGGACCAACGGGTGACGATGACGAAGGGAGCAACGAAGTCGAATCGCGCGACGGCCATGATTTATACGCAGATGCTATTCGCGGCGGGGTTTGATAAGTGGGTGTTTGGACGGACGATGAGTGGGTGGAGTGTGGTGGGGTGTGGCCTCATTGTTGGGAGTGCGTTGTGGGCTGTTTTGGGGAAGGAGACGGGTGCAGAAAAGGAAGGGGTGAGGGGTGGACAGGAGGGTGCAGATTTGGAGATGGTTGGGGGTATGAGGGAAAGTAGGACGGAGAGTGACGAAGAAGAGGAAGGTGTGCCGATGTTGAGAGGGACAGAAGTAGAAGAAGGGGTCGCATCTAGGGACCAACGGACTGATGACTGATGTGGTCTGTTCAGGAGCAGCCTTCTATAGAATAACCAGATTGCGAACGCACTGAAAGCATATTGGTCAGCCGCGAGCCAAGTGAGACAAGAAGGAAAACCTGGGTTGAGACTTGGCCCTTCTCTAGTCCTTGGACACTCTGCGCTCACTCCTGCCTGGGAAACTGGTGCAGCGATTGCCAAAGACATACGTCGATAGGAAAGCTGTTTAAGATGGCCGAACGGGAACTTTCCCCTTTTATGATTTGAGCACAGGGGAATTGAAGGCTTCTGTGCCAGAAGTGGAAGAGTACAGCAGGGTAAGGGTAAGGGAGGAGAAGATTGAGGGAGTTGCTCGGAGTGGGTGTCGAGGTGAAGGCTGGTGCTTCTCGAGTTACGTTGCTAAGCAGATGCGATCATTGTCAGTAGTGTGCAATGATGCTAACCGGACTGAATGGGGTTGTAGTGGGATAAGAGCGTCACCCAGGTCGATAACCGAGGGGACTCTGTCACCGTGACGTTTGACGATGGGACATCAACCTCAGGGACTCTTCTTGTGGCTTGCGATGGTGCCAACTCAGTGATTCGCCGGGCTTTGTTCCCGGAGGAGCAGTATCCGAGGTACCAGATTCCAGTGAGAGTAATGGGCGTCGGACTCGACTGCTCAAAGGAAGAGATTGAGCCGGTTAGGATGCTTGATCCGTTTTTCCTACAAGGGAGTTGTCCTGCGACAAGGTCGTATGTTTACATCAGCGGTAAGAACGCATTCCAGATTCCGCCAGTGAGGTGTCTCGGGTGAGGTGTTGACATGAGAATACCTCTAGTCCTCGATGCGCCCGGGAACTACCCCGATAAGCGGACGGATAAGTATACTGTCCAAGTTGTCGTCTCGTGGCCCATCCGCAGCGGCGTGCTTGGGCGATCGTCACCCGTCCCGGTTCCCGATACCAATGATGAGAAACTGGGGCTTCTCAAGACGTTTGCTGAATCATGGAGCGAGCCCTTCAAATCACTCGTCTGTAATGCTCCTGCAGGCATTGAAGTAAAACGTCTCGAGCTGACGGACTGGGCACCACCAAAGGGTCTGCGAAGTACAGGTCGAGTGGCGCTTGTAGGAGATGCCTTGCATCCCATGGCCATGTGTGAGTTTGTCGTCTTTCTTGGGGAAGTAAAAGCGACTAACCTAACGCCTGCGTCTAGATCGTGGTGAGGGGGCGAACCATGCCATCTTGGACGTACTCGAGATTACGCAACAGGTACTACCGCACCTGGAAGATACGACTGCGGAGTTGCGGAATGCCATTGACAGATACGAGGGCTTGGTGATTGCCAGAGCGCGCCCGGCGGTGTTTGCTTCCCGGCAAGCGTGTATTGATGCGCACTGGTGGGAACGAATCAGCGGCAACAGTCCTCTATTGAGCAGACGAACTCCCAATGTGGACTTCGAGGAGGAAGATGTTCGTACATGGTCCCACTGAGTAGTGGTGGCGATGAGTTCAGGATGAAGCTCCAATATCTCGCGGGGAGAAGAAAAGGGCCGTTTGAAGCACGATGTTCACAGAAAGTCATGGGCGGAAAGGAGAAAGAACCTCAAAGACTCAATAACCCAGTCACGACAGATCGAGAACATAATCTCAGCTTGTACGTAAGGTACCTCCTCCACTTTTGCGCATTGGATAGGTACCCAACCTACCTTGGGTTTCGTGCCCTAATACCTCGCATCATGCTTGCCATTTCCTCATTCTCAAAGCTACTCCTTCACTTTCACGCCCCCGTATCAGCTAACAGTACATCCTCCTCTCCAGCGCCTTAGTAGACATCATGATCCCTCGAGAGTCAGGCGATCCAACCAAGCATCTCAGCACTTCTGACTCCTAATATTTTCGAGTTGTGGCCACCATCGCTGTTGGCGGCAGTGTTCGGGTTGAAGCGGCCGGGGTTTGAGGAGTGTCATGGCCCTGTGGTAACAGTTCCCATTATTGCTCAAAGGGCAGATGGAGTCATTATCGTTAGGTGATTCTCAGTCCTGAACTTCACAGAGAGAGGGGGAGGTACCAGCGAGGTTACTATATAAATCACTAGAATTGCCGAAAGAGAGGAAAAACAGGAATATCAGATCTGAATCACACTTGTAGCCTCGCTCCATATCAAAAAGGGAAGCAACCGCCTCCGGCACATACATCAAAGAAAAGACTATGCAGAAAATCGGAATAATCAGCAAAAAGGAAAGTGGAGCGAAAAAACATACAACACCAGGGATTCGCTGGTCGTCACCGACCCAACTACTAGTCTGGCCCTCACTGGCTTATCTATGGGAGAGCGGACGGGATCCCGAGTTTTCCAGTGGGTATGGTCGTATGTGTTTATGTTTGTCAACTTGCGCAACCATGAAGGGCAGTTCAACGCTAGAATCGTGCTTGGATCTTAGGTCGGCCAATGTCGCGCGTTGTTGGCCAGCCGGAAAAAGAGAGCAAGGACGTGGGAGACACTCAGTAATCACTGTCCACATACGGCAGTGGCAACCTCAAAAACAATTTAAACAAAATTTGGGTTACTGGACCTTCGTGTAAATATCGCGATGTGAGACAAGAGAGGCATGAAATGAAGCCAAAAATAGTTCAGACGAGGAGGGTGTGAAAAAGAATACGGAATAATGTAAACATCGCCGGCGTGAATAGAAATACTTTCTAAACGAAACGGATGCAAATAGGCAGCAGCGAAAAGAAATGAGATTTGTGTTCCCATTCAGTGTGTCATATTCTCCTGCGTGCGAAGCTTCCGATCCAACTCACCGATCTGTGCTTGACCAAATCCTTTCCAAACCCCACCAATTTAGGCCCGTGATATCCATGTCGATGTTCACGAACCATTGTAAAGCCCATCAATCTGAAACGCGGAAATGGGCCCGGTGTGATATACATCTTGATTTTGACTTGTTGTAGGAGTGATTGCCCATCTTTCTGGTCGTCTCCTGATGCATCGTTATTCCCAGTTGATGCTAAAGGATAGTAATCTTCGACTCAACACCTTCATCGGAGTCCAAATTCACTCGGATTATCCGTCCACTGTGTGGAAATGTGCTGCTGCTTATTCTTCTGTGATTTTGCTTGCTCGATCTGTCCTGCTTCTTTGTGCTGATGCTCCTTCCCTTTCCTCCCCTGGAGCTCCCTTCCCCTTCTTATCACACATGCAGGACGGACCCTCGCTTCTTGATGATCCTTCGCTGACCGAACACCGAACAACAGCATTCAATCAGCCATCCTCTTTTGGAGTAGCGAGTGCATCTAGCCCAAATCCACCAAGATGTAACATGCCTCTGATGGAGGGTAGGTGCTAGAAATCATCTTGAAGCCGAGTTGTTGCGAATACATCCGAATGATACGGGTTGTCAAAATGGCATCCAGGGCTGTTTCCTCGACGATTAATGATAGTATGATCTTAACGTCGGGTTGCTCGCTTGTGGTTTCTGTTTCGTTGCGTTTTCTAGCTGCTGTTGTTCGCGTGAAAGACTACCTAAGGAAGGAACTCTTAACCTTGCTCATCATCTAGACGAGATCTTTTGCAAACTAGTCAGACGGAAGGTGCATATACGTCCAATTGGTGGAAGCCCCTCCCTCTCGATGTGTTTAGGCAAGTTCGAGTCAAGAACTGTGCGCCCTCAAGATGTGTTCACGAATCCTCTGGTCGGTCTGCCCGCTTGCAGTGATTCGCCTTTACATCTCTTCTTTTACACGTCGATACAACGCAGATATGACCTCCGTGATAATCATTTATTAAGCAAAATCAAAATCCCATTCCGCATAATCTTGAACTGGTGCTGCATCATGGCGCAATCTTCTCAACTTACATCCCTCTACGCACCGATCAACTGGGTCGCCGAGGAGAATATCATCTTTGGACCTTTGGCTACCCCTTTCGTCGACAGCTGGGTTCAGAGAGTTCTTGACAAAAATTACTGGGACTGTTCCGAGGCCTTCACGAAGCTGATCTCGAGATTCAGGCTGCTTGTTCGGTACGCGGAGAGCTCTGAAAATGGTCCCAGCAACTTGGCCAGAGACAGGTTCATGCTCGAAAGGTTAAAGAGAACCCTCGGTATGCGCGTTCCTCCATTATTACCCTCTTCCCTTCCGGTCCCCAGCTTGTAGAACGATAGATGTCTCCCGGTAGGGAACCTACCTTCCCATAGTCCTAGGTATGCTGACCTCCTAGGATATACCTACCAGCCAACCCAAGAACCGTCAAAAAACTTCCGCTCCGGACAAATCAAACCGCCGACATTTGGTACCGGGCAAAATCTCGGAACTACACACTCTTTCAGTCACTGGTGGACTGCTTCGTTTAGAATATTGCAAAGGCGTTCACCGACAGGCACAGAGAAGAATTCATCAAGGAATGCCAAGGCATTGAATACTGGTGTAAAAACGGGAATTGGCTTCAACCTCCTTCTGCCCGACCCAAGGTGGGAGAACCGGAGCTGCCGACTCCACAGGAGTACAGCCATGTCCAGCGACCATATGGTCGTATTGGCATTGGCATTGGCTCAGGCAAGAATAGCTTGTCTATCCCTCTCCTTGTCCCGCCTTTTAGACGTCACGAATTACCTGCGATGGAGCCGCCTGCTGAAGCTCGAGGACCCCCTTCAAGATTCGATACTAGGCTGTTGCCTTCGGGACCGAATACCTACCTTTAATAAGGGCACGAGGGTCGGTGATGCCAATGGTGAAAAGAAGGAGTAAACGTCAGTTTGGGGAACTTGGAACGGTTGGTTGTTTGTTTGGTGGGTAGATCCTGGGCTAAGAAGCACGCTGAGAGCGTCGCTCACACCCACATTCGCACACGCCTTTGTCGCCAATATCCAGTCGATTGTAAGCCGTTAGAAAAAAAAAAAAAGAAAAAAAAAAAACCACAGAGAAAAGAAATTATAAACTGTAGTAGCATGGGAATAGGCAAATCCCTGTGCTCACCGCCTTACAACTCGCTGTCCCTATTGTCGTTATAACTTACGTGGCCCATTTCCAGTTCCTAGAGGTAGCCATCGGTCGAAGCCCCGTGCAGCCACTATTCGATTTCCATTCACACCTAGCAAGAATTATTGACGTCGGGAGAGCAAGACGGATCATATGACAAAGCTAGAATCGTTGTGGAGATGATGCGTGGATGGAGAGAGGGGGGCCCTCTGTGAACTCCAGGCCATCAGTGCAAGGTACCTATTGGGAGAAGTTCTACCGAAGTGAGGAATTAATCACGAGAAATGTATGTTATTCGCGAGAGGATACACGACCTGTTTTAGATATCTGGAAATCTGGGCTATACTGGTACCCTCCTCGATCAATCATCCCGTGTTTCTTCCCTATGTAGAGGTAGATCGGACAGAGCAGATAGAAAAGGAAAAGGAAAGAAATCCACCCAAGAAAATCGCATCGGTTGCTAAATGGGCATTCGAAGAAGCGCACCCAGTGTAACGGTCCGCATGTCTGGCGCGCCTGCACTACGAAGAAAAGATCATTTATTGCCTATCGAGGCTACGGGTCAGCGCCTTGTAACCATATTTGACTTTATTTGCGATTTGAACGTACCTGTTGCGAAAAAAAAAGGTAGGTACTATCACCAATCTCGGCTCCCACACACAAGTGACCATCGTAGCCAAATTTACCTGCGACCCCGTCCATCACTCAGCCCTACCGAAACTGAAACCCCCTCGGCTCGAAAGTGATGGCCGCCAGATACAAGCCCTTGTAGCTGTGTATATGTGTGTCGGCGTCGAGATAGGTAGTTGAGCCGGCTGAGGGGATAAAGCCTTTGACTACCTACTAGCCTAGCATAGCTTGATCCTGCGTCGCAAACTGGGGTCATACCATGGTGTGTCACCTTCAAGCCGAATATTTAGCATGGCCGCCCCGACCGCGTAGTAGCAATCTTCAGCTTCCGTGATCTCATCCTGCTGAACTTGGTCTAATATCAGAAAATAGCAGACACGAAACAAGGAACTTTTGGTTACTAGTAAGAGGCAATCCCATTGCTCGGTCATTATTCGTTCGTACATAGTAGTCGATAGGTCTGGACGTTCAGGATTACAGTTTCGGAAACTTAGCCTGATCATGTTGTACCACACACTCATTGGTGGATGATAACTTTTGGGTACGAAAAACCCGCTTTGTTCACCACGCCCCATGGTAAATGTCATCTTAATCACCTGGCCTTCCACCCAAAGGTAGTTGGTTAGATGAGGTAAAATACTCGTGGGCCTCTTGCCCCAAAGTGCTTCGTTCAAAAGATGTTCAAGTGGCACAAGTGTTTCTTCGCCCTTGGTATGAGTGACCTGGTTCGTGATCTGAACACTCACGCGGGCTCTAGGTTGTGGGTTCTTGGTAGGATCTTCCTCATCGTAGCAATAGATCAATTGGTTCTGGAACCGGAATCCGACTTGCCCTTCCCAGCCGAGCCATGACCAGCTGGGAAAGGCATATCTTCTCTGTAAATGTTTTCTTCCTTCGTGGACGGGATACCAGGTGAGGCCGACGAGAAAGCGCGATAGCGCCATCTCAACAGCCAACGTGTGTGACAGACTCACGTCCAACTCAATTGGGTTAAAAAAAGGAATACCCAAGTACGTAGGTAATGATATACGTGAAAGCAAGCCTGTAATAGCGTTTAGGGTATCGGATTGATAAGTTAGGTGGCGCCGATTGTACTCCATGATATAATTGTTGAGGATGTCTATGCTCACTGGGATTCGGCCGGCTGATCTTCTTATTGGTGTGATTGCTTCGAGCAAGTACATAGGGGGACGCGGGAAGAGAAACTCTAGCCGTGACAAAGATCCAGTCTTCATTTCAGGAAGAGTACATTCATGCCACACAGCATTCGAACAGATGAACTCAACCTGATAATCAGTCACAATCAGCAGACGACGTGACAGGATGGCCTCCTGATAAGTCCATCCTCTTGTCATCCAAACTGAAGCGGTAACCAACTTTGCAGAACTGATAGCACTTGGTCGAAGCGCAGGGATAGGATGCTTTAGATGTGTCACCGAGGGGTACGGCTTTCTTGCTAGGTTCCTGACACCAGGCAGACCAGAAGCAGAGTCTGTCGCGGAAAATGCCACAATCGTTGCATAAGCGCCTTCAAAAATAGCAGCCATGTTGCCAATTTGAGCGTGCTTATCATCCAGATCGTCTTGATCAATGCAATACTGATCAACCCACAGGTACCGCCCGCCAAGACTGGTTACCATAATCATTGCGTTCTCAATGACAGCAGGAACAACACTGGGAAGCTGTCGTTTGCCACTCGCCGAGGCTGTTTCCCTGGTACCTATACGAACCAAGGCATATTCGCTCTTAAGTGCGGGCTGTTTACCCCAAACATAACTGAGAGCGAAGAACCTGTCCGAGGTCTGTATCTCAACGACCTCGCGTGTATGACAATCGATGCACCGAATCACAGGCCCGACCCCTTGCTTATCGGGCCTGTGTTCCGTCTGCGTAGCTGAGGCGCATGTGCTATGATGAAGATCACAATGTTCGCACCAAGCCCGTAGGAGAGGATAATTGATGAGTGTTGGAGAGAAAGGCACAGCGCTCAAGCCGCGTTTTGCGTGGCCGAAGAATGGCGCAGCCGTAAAGGATTGGGGAACAATCCAATATTGGTCCGGCGGGGGGGCGAAAATTTCGGTGCTAGTGAGAGGATGTCCAGGTAGACCAGGCTCAAACACAACGGGGTCGCCGGACAAAACGCACAACACCATAGATGGAGCATAACGCGAGACAGAGTAGGCCGCCGAGGCTGTCCATGCGCCCCCAAGCGGACATGACCGCAAGGAGTAGCCTTCTGTCTCCCTATCGGTCGGGTACCGCATCGTATAAAAAAATCGACAAAGTACGCATGTTGCCTCCTTTTTGAGTGGTCCAAGATGCAAACTGTATGTGGATTCATATCCCTATGAGTCCGAAGGGGCAATGTTCGAGAAGATGGCATCGAAGTCAATCCCTTCACATCGACTGCATAGTTTGACCGAATTTGTGTTCTGTGTTATAGGAATCTCTGTGATTTTGGGTAGCTGGCGCGGGCCATCATGAGTGCCGTTAGTAGTCTTGCCGGCCTGCTGAGCCGGTGGCTTGCGATTCGATGAGATCGAAGGGCCCATGGAGAAGATGTTATGGCGAGGGAGGTCGCTCGTAACGGATCCAAAAAATGAACTGTAGATGCCGTCGAAGTTTGTGATAAGGCCGAGGCACGCGTTCATCGGATGTGGTTGCCTGATGGTCACCTGATCTCGAAGAATGGTTGATGACAGGCAACGGTGGTTGGCTACATTACAACTGGTGTATTTGGTCTGATTCTGGTTAGCCAGAACACATAAAGGTGCTTCTTATCTCTCAGCCACCACTCCCATTGGTCATTCCTATCAGGCTTGATAGCTTCAAGTTCTGACAATATAATTGGTGGAAACAATGGAATGAGATGCACGTTTGATGTAGATGTGATCTGTGAAGCAGTTGGTCGAGCAAGTTGAAGACGAGATCCAGAGAGAAGAAGAACAGAAATCCCACGCGGGATCCCAACCACTCCAACTGCATTGATCATTATTGCCAGTGCATTGCTCCTACCTTGAAAATTCCCTTTGGAGAATTCCACTTTCGAAAGTCGAAGATCTGGGCTTGTTGGGGAAGTCGCGGCTGGTAGTCGTATGCATTCCTGAGTCGCTGACTCCGCCGTGCAGGAAGTTGAGGACTCTGAGTCTTGACACATACAGTCAATGGCGAAGTCAGCGTCCATATATATTCATGCTCAGGGCAAAGAAAGATAAGCGTGTGAGCGAGAAACAGAGGGAAGAAAAAAAAGAAAAAAGAAAAAAAAACAAGGTTTGTTGCTGACTGAACAGTCATGATAGTAGAGGACAGAAGGCGAGAGGAAATCGTGGATTTGTTTAGAAGGAAGGCTAAGCTACAAACAAACGTAGTGAATTGCTCAACAGGAGAAGTAGTACAAGGAAGTATGCCCAGACCGGCAGGTAGGCGGTCAGTCGACTGGGCACAAGATGTTTACAAAGTTTCGGAAGAACATGTTTCATCGGCGTCCTCGACAGCGGGCAGGTTGCAATAAATGAAAGTTTACAGTATCACAACTCAAAGGGGCTTCATAGGCAGTGACCTGAAGCCATGAACCCATCCCGAGACATATGAAATAAATCTCCCCCAGATTCCACAAGTGGTATAAGAAATATTGAAACGATGTCCTGATCTCAAGGGCGAATATCTGGTTCGGCGGGTCACGCCCATCAACAGAATCACCGACCCTTTACTCGCTTCTCTTGGGCTTATTCGGAAGACCATACCAACAAATCATCATAACCACAAACAACCCAATAACAATCGGATGCAACACAAAAGTGCCAACTGCCTGTGCCAGCAAACCCGTCGTAAACGGAGCCGCCGCGCCTCCCGAGCTCCCAAACGCCGAGATCACACCCATCCCACTAACCTGCTTCTGCTTGCTGATATTCCGCATGAACACTGCTGCTGCACACGGGTACACGGGCCCCAGCAGCAGACCAACAATGGCCACAGCTACTGCGTTTCCGATCAAGTTCGGCACTAACCAGACCACCAACTGGAAAGCACACGCTCCCACGACGACAATAACCACAAACAACTTTTCCCCAATCCGATGAGCCGGCGGCGCCAGCAGGAACCGACCCAGCGTGATGCCGCCCCAGAAACCAGCGGTAACATAACCGACCGAGCCATCGTGTACATGGCGCGAGTCCATCAGGAAGGTATTCACCCAGCCGGAGATACTAACCTCGGCGCCTTGGTAGGCAAAGATAAACAGGGCACCAAGAAGGACGACACGGTTCGACAGAGCAGAGACCATGGCCGTGACGTCAGCACGCCAGTCACGTTTGGGTGCCGCCGTTGAGCCTGATGGGCCACCACTTCCACTAGTTGAAGAACCCAAGTGCTGCTGGGTATCCCTCTCGTAATCCCAAAACGCACACGTCGCACACACGCCTCCCAAAACCGCCAACCCCAAGCTCACGGCATAGTACCGACTCCACACCACTTCAAAGACCGTCACCATGGCCGTCGCCAGCAGCGGGCCGACGGTACCTCCAATGCCATACGAGCCGTGCATCATACTCAACGCCGTAGTGGAATTGCTCAGCGATCCGCAGAACACGTTGCCCATGGCCAGATTGATCGACATGCCGAACCCGACGAAGAAGAAGGACACGACGATGGCCGGGTACGGCGCGGTGGCGATCATGGGGATGTATCCCAATGATATGAGGCCCTGGCCGACGGCAAGCGTCTTGGCGCGCCCTAGCCGCTCGCGGATGGCGTCGACGAAGAAGGCACCGGCGATGAAACCGAGGGCGTTGCCGACGAAGATGAGGGAGACGATGGCATAGCCTATGTTGTAGTACCTAGGTTGCTGCTGGTTAGTACTCTTATGGGTGATACTACAGAAAGGATGGAAGAGAGGGCACATACTCTTCGATGGAAGGGATCAAAGCACCCGGCGCGGAATCGCTCATGCCGTTACTCAGACTGATCAAACACATGGCCAGTAACCGCCAGCGGTTCATGTAAGGCTCCATGATGCTCTGCATCGCCTCGACGCCATCGATGTTTGCGCTATCATCGTTGACAGAGTCCGCTTTGGGAGTTGTGGGACGGCTTTGCTCCTCCAGCTCGGGGCCGACGCTGAAGATAGTCGTCTCGGTACGAGACTTGGGGAGATGGCCGGAGCTTGAAGTAGAAGCGAGATTGATCCGAGATGTTGAAGCCGACCTGTTGGGTTTTGGGGTCCGGGACAGAGGTTGAAGTTCGATACTCGCAGCCTCTTGTGGAGCACCGGGGTAGGTCCGGGCTACGGCTCTTCCCGGAGCGGAGGGCAGTTTGAGAGCCGGCTCGCTTTCGACGGCGATAAGGCTGTGGAGCATGACTGCGTCCATGATGAATGAAAGTCAAGTCACGGTAGATGCCAAGGTGGTGTGTGCTAGGCAATTTGCCAACACCAACGGCCGCCGATGGAAAGGATCAGAAAACGATGGATGAACGAATTTCATCGTAGATGGCAGGAATAATGGAGGTTAATAAAGGCGGTCCAAAGCGGGGCTGCCGACGAACATCCTCACGATAACTGAAAGAAGCCGATGGGGGTCTGGCCCGTCTGGCTAAGCTTCGGGCCGCCATCGCGTAAAGGAAAAGGTCTCCCGGGCTCCAGTCATATCAGTCGGCGCTAATCGAGGCGTGCAGACTGCAGACTGCAGCGGGTGAACATCGGCACAAAGAAAAAGGTCTTTAATCTCGTGACTCCCGTCAGCATGCAGGTACGTAATTCCGCGTATAAGTGGCCGCCCAGGACACTTCACTCCCAATCACTCTCCTCCGGTTCATTATTCTATGCTTATAGCTTATATAATTCTGTGATCTGTGTTTTTCCTCTTGCAAATCTCATCCTTGCCAGTTGATATCACTTCCGATTTATTGCTCACTGGATTTATTTCCTTCTCTGCTCCCATGCGCGTCATCTTCTCCTACTCAACCTCAGGTCCATCTGTCTCTGCTGAGGAGAGATTGGGCTTGTTATATCTCATTACTAGCTGGTAGTTTCAATGGTGAACAAGTAGTGCTAACATCCTTTGCCTATCTGTGAACGTTGCCGGGATTCTGCAGGTAGAAACCCAATGATCGGCTTGAAACGGCCGAGTTAACAATGAATCCATTTTTGTTTATGCCAAGAAAGGTGTAGGTAGCTACGAGGTTTGAACACATCGGTACTCGAAGAGAAACACCATGAGATTCCATGGGAGTCATGGAAGCAGCGTGGTTAGCACCTACCTTGATGACTCGGAAAATGAAGGCAAGAGCATTTCCGGCAAGATGAAGAGAATTCAAGGATGCAATTTATGGTACTCTCCATTATCATAGTAATTATCACCAGCAGCACCATGACATCTTCAGCACATCAGCTTGGTAGAAGCAAAACAAAGTCAGCACGCAAAAGCCTCGAGAGGTGTTCAACACCACACATACTCGGATGTTAGCATGTTACCAATACCCAACACAAGAAAAATACACCCATTGATGCCGCGGCTTACCTTTATCCCAGGCGACTACACCACCTCGGCCGACGAACCCTTCACTTCTCCAGCCTCCGTCTCAGCCCCCAGTCCAGTCCAGTCCATCCTTCATCCCTTCGCCAACACCTAGACTATCGAGCCTCGTTCCATCAGGCACTCCAACTCACCGACCGCCAAACCCACGCACTCACCCACATACATCAACATCATAACCACGCTCGCTATCGATAGAAGATGTGCCAAAAAACCATAGAAACCTTTCCCTGCTCGACCCCCGGGTGCACAAATGGGAGCATGGGAGACCGAATATACTATGTCGATCGGTGCGAAGAGGTGCTGCGTAACCCGAACATGCGTTGGGGTATGTGCGGAAACGTACAGGTGGTAACGGTATCGATCGATACGCACTCGTACTGTCTAGAATGCACGAGGGGTCGATACGTAACGAGTACTAGTTCAAAATGAGTACTAGTTAACTTGGCATTCGAGATCTGGTTCTGTCAGTTAGCGCTCGGAACGATGAGTAAAGAGCGAGGTTCATGCTATGAAGCGAAAGCAGGCAGGGGTTTTGGCATGAGTAGCTACGTATAGAAGGCAGGTGGTTTTCGGTTCTCTTGTCGTACGTAGGTAGTTGAATGTGACGAAGCAGTAGAGACAAGATCCTATGTTGTCGGGCGGAAGGAACCAAAAACAAGAAACAAGATCACGAATATATCCGGACACTCATCTTCTTCGTCATCATCTGCGACACACAGCGGAATCGCAGCGACGAATCATGATGACAAAACCTGGAAATAATCTCAAGGTATACTCGTCTTCCCAAACTGAACCCATCCATCCACCTTTGAAACAGAAACCAAAAACGCCCCAAAAACATTGACTTACCGTTACGTACACCGTAGATTGGAACTGAAACCAAACCACCCCTCAACCATCCTGAGCCACCAAACTCTACCTGCAGCCGGTCCCAATCCCAATCCTACCTATCCAAATTCCAACTTCATTTCTTCCCCAAAACGAATCATAGGTAGTCACCGTCCCAACGAACTCAATCGAGCGTCCATTCAGTAGGCACGCACCAACCCATCCATCATCGATCCTCACCAGCGAAAGAAAAAAAAAGATATCCCTCGCTTGCTCCCCTTCTCCCCCCTCCCCCAAAACTTGAAAAAAAAAAAAAAAAAAAAAAAAAAAAGGAAAAAAGGATGACAGTGGTTCACTGAACCGCTGGCATCATCACTACCTTACCTACTTACTGGACAATGCTAAAGGTCACTAGTCAATAACTGATACGTTTGTTCGCTCGCTTGCTTTTTTCCCCCTTTCTTCCCTTCTTGGCGCGTGCCTGTTGTTGTATCTTTTACCTTGTGTCTTCTGCCTTGTGTCTGATTGAGTGACTGTCTGTCGGTCTATCTGTTGTGTGTCCATCGTGCACAGACCTTATAGCAAATGAGGACTGTCTTATTCTTCCCTAAATACATTTAAGCTGAGGAAACATGGTCGGTAACGAGACGTCTTTTCTAGTTGTGAGCTCTGACTTGAACCTATATAGTCATTACAAAGTGAAGAACCTCTGTGTTCGAACGCTGACACATGAGACACGCATTCATGACAAGAGTTGACACAGACAAAACATTATAGCAATGGCAAGACACCGAGTCAACGTTTGTAATAGTAGTAGTAGCAGTAGCAGTAGAGTAGTAATAGTTAAAGAGGTTAAGGTAGGTAGAGTAAGTTAGGTAAGAGTAGTAGATATGCTATGACTATCGTATGATAACAAGGCGAACAAGGTAACCCTGTCTTGATAGTGTAGTAGTAGTGTAGTTGTGGAAAAAGAAGATATAATAAAAATAAGCTGATAAAAATAACGGGGGGTATTTCCGAGTACTACTAAAAACGTTCTTGTTTGACTCTCTCTCTCTCTCTCTCTCTCTGCCAACGTCACAATACTTTGCGCAAAACCCTTTCTTTCTCGACTGTAACACCCAAACGCGCACAACACCCAGGCACCCAGCTAGCAGGCAAGTAAGCCAAACCAGTGCAAGCAACTGAACAACAAAAGCCAAACCGAACCGACCAGACCAGACCAGACCAAACCAAACCCAACCCCAACCGTAGTAGTAGTAGATAAAAGAAAAACCGTGAGGACTAATAGTAGTGTAGTGGTAAAAGGGAAAGTGGTGGAAGGGGGGGTGACGAGTGTCACAGACGGTATAGCAACCATCATCTTCTTCCTTTCCCCAACCCCAACAATGCAAAACGATGCATAAGATTAAAAGAGCATTAACAACAAAACGAAAAGCTTTGAAAGCTAGCAGCAGTCAGTCCTGCAACTGCCACTGCCGCCAAGGCATCTCTCCAAGAAGGCAATGAATGCTTCTCTCTTTTTCTTCTCTCGCAGTGTCCTCTTTCACTTTAGCCACATCAACCTATGACCTCCCAACATTGGCAGCCGCAGCGGCCGCGGCAAACTGCTCGGCATACGCTGACCCCTGGGCCTGCATCTGAGCCATCAAGTCCGCGTTCTCCAACTCACTTTCGACATCGCCGATATACGCCAACTGTGCCCAGACTCTCCAGTGGAGAACACCAAAATGGGCGACCCGCATCGCCATGTCCTCGACACCGGCCTCCTCGCGGGGGTCCCTGTTGCTCGATGGGCTTGAAGACGTAGCGGTCGTTAATGGTTCACTACCGCCAAGGCTCTGGATGCCCATCACCTTGCTGGCTCCAGGGGTGCGAAGGTGATCGCCAGCTCCACCGGCATTCCAGGCTCTAGTGCCAGGGGTCTGGATTCTTCCACCAGTTGCGCGCGAGAAGAGGCCAACGCCAGAGAGATTCCTAAACTCCTTGACCTTGACCGCCACTTCGCCTAGCAGCTTTTGCTGGAACTCCGCTTCAACCTCCCGGAACACCTCGCATGTGGGGTCGCCTAGTACGCGAACAAGGTTGGATTCGAGCTCGGCCAGGGACGCCTGAGGGTGGTTGACAAAGCGCAGAATCTGAAGGGCCATGGCGCCGGCAAGGTTCTTCCACCTGTAGTCAGGACGGCTGGCAGGTGGAGCGGTGTGAAGGAGGGCGAGAAGAGACGAGTAGAGCTCCTGTGCCTTTCGGCGGGATTCGGCAGAGTCCTGAGCAGGGATGCAAGAGCCGGTAGTGAGTGGGAAGATGACGGAGCTGCGAGGAGAAGAAGGAGTTGATGATAGGGAGTTGCGGTCGCTAAAGGTTAGACTAGAAGGACGGGAAAAGTTGAATTCCGCGGACGAGCGGGTGCTTAGTGTACGGCCGTTGTCGTCAGATACGTAAGCAGGAACCCCGGAGGAAAACTGTCTCGAGAGGCTGTCGTAGTCCTCATACTTGCGCATGCAAATCTCGAGGCAGATGCTGTCATACATATCTGACCTGAGCTTGAGGATGCGCTCCTCGTCGAAGAGGAAGGTGTTGGGAATGTTTCCGGTAGAAGTGGAAGGCAGTACGAGATGTGTGAGGGCCTCGAAGAAAGTGCCGGTCTCACCAAAGGCTTGAGCATGAGGGCTGGGGGTGTTGGCGTAGGCGATGGAGGCGGCGATCTCAGCGTTGCGGTACCACTGCTTGGCAGCAGCAATGCTGAGCTTCCTCGCCTGAATCTTCTTGACGAAGAAGCGCTGCTCAAAGTGAACTGTGTCCTCGATCAAGACGGGGCGAAGGCATCTGATCTGGTGGTTGGCAACATCCAACTTCATGGCCTCCAGCACACTAAGCAGATTCCTCATTCCCTTGACCAGCTCGCCCATGTCGTTGTTCCGATTCCCGTTGCTGAGCTCATTGTACATCTCGTCCACCCACTCATCGCGCATCGGTGCGCAGTGTAGCTTCAGAACGCCGGATAGCCAGGCCGCCAACTTTTCCAGATCCGCAACACCGCGGTGAAACTGCTGCATCAAAAGCTCCACGTTCAACCCATCATTCAGCAAGTCGCGATCCCGTTGCGGCACCAGCGTCTCAATGATATCCCGAGCGGCCTTGAGGAGTGCTGGCAGGCACCAGTTGTCGTCTGTCCCATATCTCGCGTAGAAGCCCTCCCGATCCATAATAAACTGTATTAGCTGCTCCATCAACATGTTCCAGAACTGATTGGCCTTTTCCTGCTTTCTCTTTCCCTTTTCGCCGTCCAAGTTGGGTCGGAAGTGTAGCTCAGGGTCGAAGTTGATATCATGGCGCAGCTTGGGGTTGTGTATTATCTTGCTGACGTCGAGTTCACTCAGGGTTGCGCGGGTGACTGGGGGTTCTAGGGGCTTGGGGGCGATTGGTACACTGGAGCTGCGAGAGAGCGGTGAGGGCCTGCGATCCCTGGCATGGGCGGTGAAGTACTCGCTTGTGCTTTGCCTGTTGGACCTCGTCGACGAATTCCTGGAAAGCCTGGGTGCCGTCTCTGCCGCCGGTGTTGAAGCCGTGCTCTCTCCTCCATCTGTGGCCAGCTCCCTCGATACTCTGGAGAACTCTTGCATGATCTGATCTTCCTGTTCGGCCTGTTGGGGTGGGTTGCGCGTCTCGGGGACGGTCTCTGTCGGTAGGGGCTCCTCGGCCGTGGAGTCCTGTCGCCTGTGAGTAGACAAGTGGCTCTCGAAGCCACCGCCTGCGCCTTGTTCACCCATTTTGAAGTTTGACTATCCTTGATCTCTTGAGGGTATTGCTGGAGCCAAGCTACGTGAGCGACGACGGGTGAAGTTATAGGGAAAAATCGGTGAGGAGGAAGAGTCCAGAGAAACCCGGGGAAATGGGTAGGGCGAATGGACCAGTTATGAATGCGACCAAGACCTTTGTTCGTGGCATGCATGTTAGCAAGGTGTATCACCAAAAGGCTGCTGCATGCGAGAGGAGTGCAAACAAGGCAACGAAGGGATGGATGGAGGGGAAAAGGACTGAGTGCCTGCGGAAAGGCGGAAAGGGGCATGGACTGCAGCCGTGGCGGCCCTTGTATCTTGTGATAGGGAAGCCCGTCTTTGGCGTACACTGCAGGGAGCGACTGGACCAAGGACGAAGGAATGAGAAGACGCTGGGCCTGGGAGGGGGAGGAAATGTGTGCTTGTGTAATGTGACGGCCATGTAGCAAAGCGAAGAGAACAAGCCGCTTACCGGCAGAAAGTCTTGTGGCTGCTGCTGCTGCTGTGGTGCTGGTGGTTTGGGTACTCGGCAGCAATCGGCGTCCTCGAAGACGACTTGAGTATCCAAGAGAGAGAAGTCGTGTGTGTGTGTTGTGTGTGTCGTGTATACGGTGTGTGTATGGGTGATTGCAGTAGCAAGCAGGGATGGGTTGGGACACGAGAGCGCAACCAAGACGGATTAATAGAGGTACTGTCGGTGGTGGTGTTGGCTGAGGAGGGCAGCTTATATGAAAAGCCGGTGACCTGGGGGCCTTCAAGGTTGGGACTTGGTTGGGCGAGAAGAGGCGGTGTCTTGCCACAGATTACAGACAGACCAGTGCTTTGGTATTTCGATGGTAGGTTGTAGTGTAGTCGTTGAAGGGCCGTGTGTTTGTGGCGCCGGGTGGGTTAATTAGTAGTAGTAGTAGTAGTATTAGGGTGAGTTGAGTGTTGGTGACGGCGTAATGGAGGAGGAGGTTGTTGTTGGTTTCCTGTCTCGTACTATCCCCTTACTTCTCGCAAAGGTTGGGACGAGGGATGATGGGGGAGAAGGAGGAGTTTGGGGGTTTGGTTTGCCTTTGAATTTGTGTGTAAAAGTCGAGACGGAATGGAGAACAAGCAAACGGAAAATTAAGCAGAGCAGAGCAGAACACAGTGAGGAATCTGGAAGCGGGTGTGCGTAGTAATGGAAGTCGAGGAAATGGAAAGCGCAGTAAAGAGTAAAAGTGGAAAGAAAGGGCGGGAGCATCTAAAGAAGGGGGGGCGTGTGTGTACAAGGATGGATGGATGCCAATGTACACCATGTCGAGTAATATTACGAGAGCTTACCCTACCTAGTGTACCAAGGGAGGAAGAGAGCCCAGTGGTCCGGCTTGGGCTTGTCTCCTTTCTTGCCTTCACACGATGCCCTGCCGGAGGCGGAAACAGGAAGGAGCCTGTACTGTAACTTACACACCACGCACACACACTGGTGCGCACTAGCACAGAACGAGGAGTGAAAAGGTACCGTCCACCTGGATGGACCTGACATGGAACACAATGCCGGGTCCCAAACGGCGACGTAGCGACCGATGCGGCAACGGAGTGGAGGAGGGTGGGTGTGGGGCCGCCAGGGGTTGATGGTGAATGAAATGAATGAATGGAGGTCAGAACGTGAAGGGGGTCGCCAAAAGTTGTGAATGAAAGATACAAAGGGCCACTGCATCCGCCTCCGTCCTCTTTCCCATCCGTGACCATGACCGTGCAGTGTTGGTTTTTCTCCCGTCCCATATCCAATTACTAGGTATTCATTGCTTTTCGATCCAGGATTCAACAATTGACAACTAAAAGATGGTGTGTGAGGTCGGGTCGTCCGCGTGTTTTGCGCCCTTTTTCAAGAAGTCATCTGTCGTGAAGGTCCAGTGACATGACATGACCATAACCACTCCCAATACACACATTGATTGATTGATTGATTGATTGACTGACCCACGGGCCACGGGCACACGGGCACCACCCAGTACGCTCGCATCGCATCGCATCCATCCAGCGCATCAGGTTTTGTCTCCAGAGGTGCAAAGGGCATCGATCCACTCCCACCAATGCACCCACTCTAACTCTAGCGTACACTACAGCCGTCTCATCTCATCCTCTGCGGCGGTCGGGTGCACTGGCGCAGACGCAGATTGACACTGCAGCCATTGCGACTTTGCATGTACCTACCGCCCTCCTTTAGCGAATAGAATGAATGGACTGAGCACTGACATGTTTTAACAGCCATGTTACTACCTGTAAGAGGTTTGTGTGTGTGTGTGTGTGTGTGTGTGTGGTGGCTGCTGAGGTGTTAAAGCTGGGGCTTGCGCTTGCAGTGAGTGAAAGAAAGAAACATTACACAGCTGTAACTGAAAGAAGTGGGCTTGGACCTTTGTTAAAGACACCCCTCTCCCTCAACACTACGCAGTACACAGGTCGTTCCCCCTTCTGTTCTTTCCCGGGCCCCTACACTAGAAACATCAACTCCTTGTATCCTAGCGTGCGTGCTCTCCTCGTCCAGTCCATAGGTGCTGGATGCGAGAGTGGACCGCATTCGATCTCGGCCGAGGCGAGTTAGGTTCCCTTGTTGGAGGAGTCCACCATTTCAGGCGAGGCGACCGGACTCGTGTGGAATATGTTAACGGGAGTTATAAGGAAGGGCGGATCGGTGCCTGGCCCACCCGTCAGCGCGCACCGCCTTACCTTGCCTTACCTTCCATGCTTTTGCCTTGACATTAATCCGGGGCTGTCTCCTGTGATGGATGCACCTGAACATTGATTGTGCCTGAGTGCCTGGTGTAAGCTACGAAGCGGCTGGCAAATGTCAGGCAGGCAGTGTCAGGCAGTGTCAGAATTTCACTTCAGCCAAGCCAAAAGAAACAAAGCACATCTTCTGTCACGGTCCAGTCTCAAGTTTGTTCCTGTTTGATGTCTGTCGCCTTCAAAGACGAGACTGAGAGACGACGGGTCATGTAAAACGACTGAGCACATCACCTGCAGCGGCGGCGGATGCACCAACTTCTAGACTTGACACTTGGACCACAACAACACAACGACAACGGACGACAACAACAAAAACAACCTGACAATGGGATGAAACAAAATCGATATCAAGGGCAACCGCGGCCCCATTCAATGCCAATTGTTGTTCCTTGAATCCCTTTTTCTTAACATGACTGCATCGTCGATAACGACGGAGACAATGTATAATGGAACCCCCACCCCCCTCCCCCTGGAAGTGGTCCCCCCGCCCCATACTCCAGCTCCCTACGACACTAGCCACCTGCCAGCACCATTATGCAGCAAAAACAACCGAACCCAACACACCCACATCGACGCGATCCAACACCACTGCATTGCTTGCTGTTTTGCGGTGTGCAAGCGTCGTCGGAATAGCGCCATCCCCACCACACAACGACATTGGCATCCCATTGGAATTGGATCCCCAGGCACCGCAGCAGCCAAGCGGGCTGGTCGTCAGATCAGGTCGTTGCCGCCGCATCCCGACCTTTTCTTTTTGACCCGATTGCTTCAGATTCTGCTGCTCTGCGTTGTCCTTGTCGCAGATTTTTGTCTCTGTCGGCGGCGAGCCACATCATCAATCATCATCATCATCGACGATAACCAGCCTGGGTTTGGCGGCCGCCCGGCTGGCGATGGCGAGCCTACCTAGTGTAGTGTAGTGAAGAACGGGGAACGGATGGGGGGGGGGAGACGAACGACGGGAGGTGTTACGCTTTGGTGCCGTGCATACCGAAACAGCGATGTGATGATGATGAACAATGAACTCCGAACAAGAACCTGGAGACACCCGCCCATGCCTAGCCCTGATTGTAAAACCTTACAGGGAATAGACCGGTAATATTGATTGTGCGAGACAGGACTCGAGCGCGCGACCGACCGAGAGTCATGAACGCACAATTCAAACACCCCCCTCCAATCCCAATCCTGCCCTGAAGGCCTTTCCAAGAGGCTCCTTCGTTAGTGTACCTAGTTTCCCCTTCGAAAGTCCCCAACTTTTCCTCCCCTCCCGTACCCGTTTTTGTCACAGGCACAGGCACAGGCACACGGCACGCTTTACCAAACCCGGGAACTCGAACACCTTGACGCCTCAACCTTCGCCTCAACCTTTGGGGGGTTCTGGGGCTCAGGCACGCACCTTCGTCCCAAAATTCTGGATGAATGTTTTGTAACGCCTCAAGCAGCGTCCGAGCAAGCAAGTGTCGACGACTTGCTTGATCTGGCACCTTACCTACTGACCCATTCTAACTGTGTAGTGTAATGCCACCAGTCCCGGAATGTACCTCCATAATGTCTTACATAGTCCTTGATGCAGTGCCGGCGTATTGTACTTTACAATTCTGGTAATTTACGCACTATACATAACTACACTACACTGTAGGTAGTGTACTATGTACGTACAATACCGCGAGTACGCTCCGTACCTGACACTACAGTCACTGTTGCTACCGCCGCTCGTCGGCCGGGAAGACGACCCGGGCCGGTGGGGATCTTTGGGATCTTGGAGAAGGGGGGAAAGGGGGGCATCAGACGGTACGGTCAGACCCCCGATTTCGGGTTCCTTGAAAAATTGAGTTAAGGTCCAAAAAACTGGATGGAGTCTTTCCGCATCGAAAAGAATGCTTCCATGACACTTCTTTCGAAGAAAGAAATCTCGGAGAAGTTGCCTTCTTGGGCCTGGATGCGGGATGAGCGGGCGGGCAGGCGGGCAAGCTGAGAAAAAAAAAGTACACTACGTACACTACGTAACCCATAAAAACGTGAGGCGAAAATCGATCGTGGGTGGGTGCCCTGATTCGTAAGAACAAGAAGAAGAAGAAGGTTTTTTTTTTTTTTTTTTTTTTTTTTTTTTTTTTTTTTTTTTTTTTTTTTTTTTTCGTTCGGTTCTTCGGGACATCCCGTGGCCAGTCAGTCAGCCCAGTCTACCGGCCCGCCCGCTCAGCTCACAACGCTTGTACAAATTTCGCCATCCATACATC